TTATACATACCCCCCTTTCACAGGTGCTGCCGTGTGGCGGTGGTATTGTGACCTAGCCAGATGTTTATAAGCAGTCAAGTTATAGTGGTATAATTTATTTTCATCTTCCTTGAACATCTTGACCTGCCCCATGTTACATTGTCAACGACATGCAGACAGTCGGTAACTCAAAATTTGTCAAGTTCTCCTCGCTCTCTGCCGATACCAATGGTGAACTGCAGAAGATGGTACATGATATTGTAAGTGCTCAGTTTTATAGGCTCTCAGTTCTGAATGTAATAAGAACAGCCGCATATATTCGCTACCGATCGTTCACAAGCAATCGTATGTCCTCAATTCTGCATGATGTCCCGGGAATTTGTTCATTGATGATAACCAGATGCCAGACCTCGAGATTCTGCACTCCCGGGCCAGTTTAACCAACGACTGCTCTGCTGGAAGGTTCGAGGCCCCGTGTATTCGTGCAATTATTACCGAACACCAACAGCAGTTGGATGGGGTTTTGCGCGAAATGTCAGGCCTGAAAACAGTCGTGGATACTGTCAACAACCTTCATAAACAACTCGTCAAAAAGCAGGACAAGATTACCCAGTCCATGAATTTGCATAAGCGACTCATATCATCTCTCTGGGGTCTGCCAACTGAAGTCCTATCCCAAATTTTTGTTTACTGCCTTCCGGAAGACAGCCACCTATCGCTCGCACAAAACCAAGCTCCGGTGCTATTGACCAGAATATGCCGAAAATGGAGGAATGTTGCTGTGGACATGCCCATTTTATGGTGCAGGCTGCACTTGAAGCTCAAGAACCGTAGAAACTTGCAGCAGCAAGAAAATCTCTACCACTTATGCCTGGAGCGATCACGAGGACGTCCGCTCTCGTTGCTAATCGATTGCTATGCAAACCAGATGGTCAAGTTGCAAAAGTTTCTTCAGCCCCACGGCTATCACATCTCGTCTCTCTCTATCCCTTGTGTTCGCGGCACCCCCGAGGTATTTAGGGGATTCCTAGCACCTCATGAGCTGGTTTTAAACAACACGACCAGTCGTACTTCGTCAACTGTTGCGAATTGCATCGAGGTAGTTCCATCGACTGTGCGCAGTCTCAAGGTTACAGGGTCGTTCTCCCTCGACAGGGACTTATCTCCTATCGCTGCATCGGCTCGCCTGACACATATCGATGTCTCACTATGCTCCCTGAGTGTGGTCATCCGCTTAATCCGTCCATCTTCCAACCTCTCTTCGTTAGTGATTCGCAAACATACAAGCGAGCGAATCCCAGCTACCGACTCGGCCCTGGTGCTGACGCACACCGCACTTCAATCCTTACGCATCCTCGACGCCGACACGGGCGCGACCTCCCTACTACCTAGCCTGTTCAATATTGTGACATTCCCCAATTTACGCATACTTGAAATTTCGGGTTCACAAGTATGGTTTTATGAAGAAGTAAAAGCATTCTTGACACGGTCGAACTGTCCCTTGGAGAGCCTGATTATCGGCGCTGGGATGGTAATGACAGATGAACAGCGAGCAGAATATATTGCCCTTATTCCTTCCTTGGTAGTAACGCATTTCATAAAATGATGGTATTGGGCTTCACGTATTTATGCAATGGGCTTATCTTTACTGTCTTCTATGCTACTAGTACTATAGGTGTTCGTCCGCCCTAGTTGCCGACGGTGAAGAAGTGAATATAACTTTGGTACCGTTAACCCTTTGTGGTCTCTGAGAACACGATGGACCCTGGTGACGATGAGAAATATATTTAAGTTTCACGCTGTGTCACAATTTTGAGTAGCAACACGTGGATAGCTAGAGTGGCATTTGTGAATACGCAAGGAGAACCAACAAGACCGCATGAATATCTTGAATTAATCCTCATCGATATCAGCAGTAGCTTAGAAGATGGTAATGATAAGGTAATCAGGGATGTATTCGGTGCATGCAAGGATCCGCCACCTCCCAGTTTACGCTTGCTTGAAGCTTGTTACGCATATACAACCATGGCAAATATTTTCCGGGTTCGATACCCCCCAAAGTACACGGGTTGGCAGCTAGCGCTGTGCAACCATGGCCTCATGAACAGTTGACATACTTGTTACGGTCAAATTATCGCCTGAAGACCTTAACTTTCAGCACTGGAGTGACAACGACAGATGAGCAGCAAACAGAATACATTGCCCATATTCCCTCCCAAAGTAGTGGTGGATCCCACGTATAATCACTTTGTATGAGTCTTAAGACTTCATCGTCATAAGCTATTCGACTGCCACGGCCGCTGTGCATGTCTGCATTTTGAGGGGCGCTGACAGTCTACACTTGTCTCACTGAGCCCCAGAATGCTCCCAAGCTCCTCCCAGGCGTGTTTGGTTTTCATTTTGCTTGATGTGTGCGCACCGCACTAATCATGATAGTAGACGGTAGTTGTACTCAAATGCGAGCTTCGGGAAAACGCATCTGCGATTTCAGCAGAGGTGGGCGCTGTCTCGATCGCACTGCGACTAGTTGTCTAGTCTGTGGCTTGGGTCCCAGCAGATCCTGGGCCAGGTAATGACAATACAGAGTTATAAACTCCTACTTGTCATGAGCCTCATCGGACCTAATGCACACGCCGTCGAGTAAGATTACTCTTTGACATCCGCTCGCTTGATCTTGTCGTCGTCGTCCTTTCAGGTCTTGGAGAGTACGGGTATCCAGATTCAAGACGTACCACAGACGTGATTTGCAGACTCTTTTATACTGGTCTACAGCGAGCCGTAAGGTGAGACCTTGGACCTGAAAGTTCTTGTACTGTGAATAATTGCTTGAATGTTGCGGTACTCAAGTGGGGTGGGGTGGACGAGTGGGCAGCGATCAATAACACAACATCGCTGAACACTGCAGTGACACGTCAATAATGAAATGCGGGCTCGTGTGGCTTTGACTGTAATGAGAGCTCACCGATGTTAGTAGAGTATGATGACCACATTGCACACTTATGTAGTGCATGATTGCAACAAGAATGGACACGAGAAGATTATGAGCGAATGAGAAAAACTGAAACCAGTTGAGCCGGGAGTCAGCTGAGAAACCGAGATGAGCTTGAAGCAAAGGGCTGTAAGCAAGGCTGTGACACCTTTGAAAATTATGATTTATATAAAACGTATATTGAAAGATAGACACTTCTCCATTAGAAGCGGGTTGGAGACGTGATGAGAGAAATTTGGTTGCATCTGGCGCACAAGCAGATCTTGGGAGTCGATAAGATGAGGAGATGATATGGCAGTATGCTAAGTGCACTCGGACACGTTGCATGATGAAATGTTGGAGAAACTGATATTTATGCTGCAATCTATGTGGGATAGATAGCTTTCAGCCAAATTCGAAGACCGGGAAGTAGCAAGTGCGCTATGCCATTGGACGGGACGGGGTATATTCTGGAAGCCGTGAAGACATGAGTCGTATTCTCCTAAGAGCGAGGAACGAGCACGTGGTTAGAATGTAGTCTATGCCTAATCCGAGTAAGGAAGACTTACGCCTTCTTTCTTTCTCCCGTCTCAACTCTCGATTCTTATCAGCGCTAGTCATCGTCATCACTCAGTAGACTCGCGCTTGAGCTACCGGTTTCAAAACAGCAAGATTCAACAATTACATTGTCCATTATAAAATGGATAGACTTTTTTCGGACCCAAGTCTGTTAGTATGCCCAGATTTCATGAGCGCGCGGTATCAGGCCACACGTACGGCTATGATCACGCCTAACGTTACCGAAGCTCAAGCAGCTGAGACGTTATGCACCACTTGGGTACTAACCAATGAAGATTTGTGCCTTCAATGGCAAGAACAGGTAGTCGAAGATGAACGACTAAGTGCTGAACGCAAGTGCTTAGCTGATGAAGAAGCCGAACATGAGCATCTGGCTCTTCAGCTAGAGGAAAACATGGCACAGGTGGATGAGAAGAAGAAGAATCAGTCCAAACACTCTACAATTACCTTGAGGCCCTGTCCTTTCACAAATGATGAGGAGGCCTTAGTATCAGAGTTTGCCTTGTGAAAGATAGATAGTGGGAAGTATGTTGAGCTTTACTACTGGATGAATCAAGGACTCAATGATGCATTAATCAACTATTGCACTTGGGATGATGACAGTATGGTTCCATCCATTGGGGAAGATGGTTCTACAGTATGGGTTAGCACAGCAACCTCAAAGCCTGCAACAGGAGTCATAGTGGATAGAGATCTCTCGCCAGTAGACTTTGCCCAGGCTATTCCGTGCATAATGGCAGCCATTGAAGAATGTGACTGGACTAAGCAGCGTGTCTTGATGCTTGCTCAATTCTGGGGAGCTATCATGCTCCATTGTTACTGGAACTCCAATGATCTGTTAGCTAGATGTGTGATTCTTCTCTATCAAGAAGAGCAGCGTTGTGCTTGGCATAGTGCCATCCTTTCATCCAACGGTGCATGGGACATATCCATCATAGATGAACCCACTCTTGTATGAATGTTCGAACGCATCTATCGAGCTTCACTCATACGCACAATGAACACATCACCTGACGTTCTGGTTAGTTTTAACATCTCTATATCTCAAGCACCACTGACTTATTGTTTCTTTCAAAATTTTCACCTGATTCTGCATCTGCATTGTGTCTGTGTCTGCGTTGCATTTGCATTTGTGTTTGCATTTGCATTTGCATTTGCATTTGCGTTTGCATCTGCATGGATATGAACACTTCATTCAGCATCATGTCTGTGGTCCACAGCCCCAGAGCAATAGCTCCGACTTGTGAGGTAGATGAAGTTTTACACATCACTCAAGGCATTCAAGGCGTTCAGCTTCCCCACCAGCTCAGAGATGCTCTGTGTCTCCAAGCACGGGTAGGAGAACCAGCGGTCTGTGTAACCCCAGGCCGGCATCACAGCGGCAGGGTTTTCAAGATAGCGCACACAGTACTCGCTCCTCAGCAGTGTGTGCAGTCTGCTTGGGGAGTCACAGTCACAGCTTCGTCGAGTGCATGGCCGAATGTCTGTGGGACAGCAAGTTCCAGAGTGTTACCACCCGCGTCAACAAATCTCTCACCGTGTGAGGATCTGACAAAACTCTATGTGTTGACTGGCAACGAGCCTGCAGCTGCACCAGTCATGCACACAACGAGCAACATGTATGTTCAGGGTGTCTCACCACTGCTCATGGCGCCCAGCAATGCTCTCGAGCACAGACAACTTCATCCAGTGTCCCCATATAATGTGGCAGTCTGGAAGGACAAACTACGTACATATGACCTTCTTCTTGCATATCCCAACTTGCTGTGTGGACTTCAGTCTGGCTTTAATATCAATCTTCCCACCATTGTTTGCACTCAATCCCTGCCTAATAGTCCTTCTCTTGTCACATTTCGTGATGCTTTCCAAAAGATTCTTGCTCAAGAACTTAATACTGGATGTTACATTGGACCCTTTTCTGCTATTGAACTACTCTCATTGCTTGGACCCTACCAATCCTCTCCCATCTCTATTATACCCAAACCAGGGAAAGCAGGAAAATTCTGCGTTATTCAAAACTTCTCCTTCCCATTGGTACCTTTGCTATCTTATCCTAATGCTTCAATCAACTCAAACATTAATTCCAACGACTTCCCATGCACATGGGGAACATTTGACACCATATGCACAATCATTCGTTCTCTTCTGCCAGGTTCACAAGCTGCCACATGCGATGTTGCTGAGGCTCATCACACCATTCCATTACACAGTGCGCAGTGGCCAGCTGCAGTTGTCCTTCTCCCTGATGGGGACTTATGTGTGGACACATGTGTTTCATTTGGGATGGGTCCCTCCGCAGGAACTTATGGTCATGTCACAGATGCTGGAGCTGACTTGTTGCGAGCTGAGGGTCTTGGACCATTGGCTAAATGGGTGGATGATCACCTCTTCTTTTGTATACTACATGAATTCCTGGCGAGCTACAATAAGCTTAGGAAGGAGGTGCACACAGCATTGGAAGCAGGAGGGAACAGACAGTCAGGTGGGCACTTGTGGCACAAAGGTCAAATCTTTGATGACGAAACCTTTGATGTCTATGCAGAAGATTGTTGGTTTCAACTCCGTGATCTGTCTCAATCCTCGCCACGTGCAATTATTGATCAAAAATTCACGTTCGCATTCGCAGACATTGACTGAGCTTCCCAGCCACTGGGCATCCCATGGGAGCCATCCAAAGATACAGCCTTTGCCTATGAAGCATTATTCCTCAGATTACTGTGGGGAATCCCCAAACTATCAGTTGAGTTGTTGCCTGCAAAGAAAGGGAAATACTTGGTGGCAATCACGGAATGGCATTCTCACATGATGCATGTCTTACTGGACATACAGAGGCTGTACAGCAAACTCTTACATGCATCCCTGGTCATCCAAATGGGATGAGCCTACCTCACCTCATTGGAGACCATGCTTGGGATCTGCCATAGTCATCCTTTCGTGCTGCACCACTCAGTCCGACATCTCCATGACGACCTCAACTGGTGGTGCTCCAAGCTCACCAAATCTTTTGTCAGAAAGACCATATCCCAGCCTTGTACCCTTGTTGACATTCGTACCTTCTCTGACACAAGTTCAACCATTGGGATTGCAATTGTTATCAATGGGTATTGGCGCGCATGGACCCTTCGGCCAGGATGGCAGACACTCAATGGCCAGTGAGACATTGGATGGGCCGAGGGTGTTGGTTTTGACTTACTCACACTTGCCATTCTCAATGCTCGCCGAGAGCAGCCTTTCAACCACTTCTGAGTCTTCTGCGACAACCAAGGCATTGTCAATGGTTGGCGAAATGGGAGGAGTTGCAACTGGGCCACCAACCTCATCTTTTGCAGAATCCATGACTGTCTCGAATGTGTCTCCCCAAATGTCTCGTTTCACCTATGCTATGTCCCTAGTGCCGACAATCCCACAGATGGTCCTTCCAAGGGAGTGTTTCCCCCCAGGAACCTCCTCCTCCTTCCACTTATCCTTCCAGACGATCTCTCCACCTTCCTTGTTGATGCAGATCTCTCTTCAGGGCCACCAAACAACATTAGCGAGGGATTCTCCCTCAATGGGGAGAAGGATATTAATGGACTGGTTGATGAGGCGGATGATGGAGAATGGGGAGACCAGCTCCACGAGTTCCACGATGCCTGGTGGGATTAACTCCACTCAATTCCGAAATGTGCCCCCCTTGATAGTGCAATCCCCTGCTGTGCAACCTCATTGGTATTGTACAGATCTAACACCATGAACATCACAACTATGGCCACATTGTCTAGCGAGGGAACGTCTTCTGTTATGGGTACCAGGAATAGTGAGGTCTTGTCTCAATCACACAGGAGCACAAGTCGCAGTAACAGATAGTGATCTGGATCGCATCCTAGTAGTCATAGCTCATTCTCATGCTCCCAGCACACAAGAGACTTACGGATCAGGACTTTTGGTCTTTCATGTCTTTTGTGATGAGTGAAGCATTCCTGAACATCAATGCTGCCCTGCATCATCTGTCATGGTGTTAGCATTCATAGCATCATGTGCCAGGATGTACTCAGGACAAACTCTTGAGAACTATCTCTATGGTATTCGTGCATGGCATCTACTTCATGGTCAAGACTGGCTCATCAACTGAGATCAAGTGTCAGGTGCATTAGAGGGAGCCAAACATCTCACACCCAAGACTTCAATTCACCCAAAGAGAACACTGTTCATGGTGGAACTCATCAGTGCCCTACAGTCCGCTCTTGACTTGACCAATCCTCTGCACGCTGCAGTGTATGCTTGCCTAACAACTTCCTTCTTCACCATTGCATGCATTGGCGAATTCATGGTACCCACTCTGTGTTACAGTGAACTAGGATGGGCGTGACAACAGGTACTCGATAAGAGTAGCGCCTGAAGCCGGATCGTGTCCTTATGAATGTAAGGTTCTTAAGACAAGTCAGAGAGAGTGTCTCTGGCTTGAATATCGGTTATCAGACGACTTAGGATTGGGGGTCCTAAGCAAAGGATAGTCAGGTAAGACCTAGTAGATTAAAGTGAAGTCTATCTAAGTACATGACTGGGTTTATATAGACGTAGGTACTTTAGGGTAGGCACGTATACGTCATCAGTCGAGTCAGAGATAAGACCTACGTCATCAAGACGAGTCAGAGATAAGAACTACGTCATCAAGACGAGTCAGAGATAAGACAATGAGTCACCTAGTGACGGCACATGGCGATCGTGATGTAATACAGATATAGTAAAGGGTTAGTCTAATGATGGCGCAACAAGGCGCGGTCATGATGTAATACACGAGTAAAGAACAGAGAAAAGAGATAGGGGTAACCATGATTGTAACATTACCCCTCATTTAGGGATGAAGTCACCGACTTCAATTATCTTGATTAGCCCAGTAAACGGGGTCAGCATCATAGTTTGAATAAAGCAGATCATCCTGCTCTTCGGTGATGGTAGTCTGCTCTATCTCGGCAGTGTGGGCGATAGCGTCTTGCTCAATCTCCCAACGAGCGAGGGCGTCATAGAAACCGACATCAGTCCATACCAAAGGAATGACGGCCTCTCCTTTCAATTCTTTACAAAAGACTGATAAGTGGCCGGGCACATACTCCTTGCAAACTCGGCAATAGTACGCAGGGCAGTTCTTATGATGATGCCCAGTGATGTGGCAGTTATGGTATATGACATTGTCAACTGGTGACGTTTTTACAACTGTGACGGAGGAAGACTGGTTCGGGGGGGAGGGTGATCTCGACCGTTTGAGCAGTGCTTTGGTTGGGGAGACGGAGGCGGCTTGTTTAGCGGCGAGGTGTGAGGACTGTCGTTTGAGTGGGAGTCAGTGTGTGGTACGTGTAATGGGGTCAGGAGTAGGAGAAGCTGGTATGTGGAGTACAGCAATAGGAGGGATATTATCATCCTGATGCTCCATGGTAGTCGCAACAGGAGCTGGCGGTGGTACAGGAATGGTGATGTGAGGGGATGGTGGTCGCGCGACAGGGTCGAGGGCGATACGCTCGGTGACAATATGGATAGCCTCTCTAATAGCATCTCTAGTTTCCTCAGGTAAGAGATGGATCGCAGTGTTGCGAATACGTATGTGAAGGTGGCGGAAAATAGTTTTATGGCACTCATCATCGAGGAGAGTGGCGGTGCGATCAATAAGGCTGGCGTCTCTAATGATTCTGATGATAAGACCACTAGATATTGCCCCTCGCTCTCCAAGGAGATGGTCTATCTCTATAGCGTACTGTTGGGAAGTGATGGCGGATTCGAATAGAGCGCTTGTCTCTACTTGGTCAATGACCGAGAAATAGTCAGTGAGGACGGAGTTGTCGGTGAGGGTCAAGGTGGAGTCGGAGACTGGTGGAGATTCTATGGGGGATGATGCGTGTTGGGCAAGGTTGGCAGCGGTAGCGTTTTGGTAATCGAGGAGGGTTAGTGGGTGAGCGTTTCCTTCGGCGACAGTGTTCATAGCGG